TTAGCGTACCATCATATTGATACAATGGTCTCTCTCTCTCCTCTCTCTCGTCTCGTCTCTCTCTCTTCTCGCTCTCTCTCTCTCTCTCGCTCTCTCTTCTCTCTCTCTTCTCTCTCTCTCTCTACTCTCTCTCTTCTCATCTCTCTCTCCTCTCTCTCGCAGTCTCTCTCTCTTCTTCTGTCTCCTCGTTAACCTGTGCATGTTAACGAGTTTTTCACACGATGTTAAATTTTCGTCGTTTTTTCGCGCGGACGATCTTAGGAACGGGCGAGTAGCGAGTGGGGCATGCTGAGACGAACGTGACAAACGTGAGTGCGGTGCGTCGGCGGGCCGCGTCGACGTGGCGACACAGCGCAGCACGCCGCGCCGCTGCTCGGGCTAGACCGTGCTCGCACCTACCGACAGCTGCGCGGCAGTGCACGGAGCGTGGCGCACGAGGCGCGTGGTGCGAGTGCGAGCCCCGCCCACCTGCTTCCCGTTCCACACCATACCAGGGCGCGTTCGTACCGGCTTTAATTGGAAACTGTAGGGTATGTACGTTTTACGCTAGCTTGTAGGCAGCGTGTTGTGGCTTGTTTGGATTTCTAAAGCTGTAACGTATGGTATGAACCCAGTTGCTCTATGCAGGACCTAACACACCCGCCTCTGATGCGTATCGCACTCCTTAACCTGTTGAATAGGGCATTTAGACATGTAGGTATGTACGTGTCTTACATTACGTAGCAAGATATAACTGGTATTTGGTACGCTTTGGAAACTGAGTGGAGATGTGTGATGTACCCTTCTATGGGTATGCTGTGTGTCCTACAGCCTCACTTAAGTTGGCCCTGATCTGTGTACAGTGCATGCTCAGAACTTTATTTGGCAAAGCTTTTTTTAATCGTAGGAACAGAATATTAAACGTGTTGCTGTTAACGAATTGGTTTTCCCACAAAAGCTTGAAATTCGTTTCTGCAGACTAACAGATTGTACAGATTATGTTCCACAACGGCCTCCGCGCTGCGCACTTGACGTTTGACTCCCCCCCGACTTTCTTTTTTTGCGCCCAGCCTCGCCAGGGAATCGGGCGGGGCATCGGACAACCGAGAATCTGGTGCAAGAACATTGCTCAAAGCATTTGCCGGGCGGGTAAGCAAAGTGGGCCTCGGGCGTTTTCAATGGCGGGGCTGGTGTGGAAATGTGAAGACCCTACGACTAGGTGACGTGCATGACAGTGTTCTGCAGGGTTTCTAGTTTGTGTATGTGTCTCTGCCACTAGCCAGTTAATAAATAAATATTGTCTGTATATATACTTTACGTATATACCATAGTATACATATACACATATACATATACATATACATATCATATAACATATACACATACATATACAATATAACTATACAATTTACATATACATTTACATACACATACACAAACACATAACACTGGGAGGTGAGCAGCATTACGAAATTAGCACATTTGACGACAGTGAGCACCCAGGTAGTACACGAAGTCACGCACCAGATTCAGCTTACATACACATTAGCACATACAGCCATACACATACATTCTTTCCTTTATTCCTTCTTCTCTATTTTTTGTGGGGGGGGTGGTACTTTTTGAGAGTGTCTTTTATTCGAACTTTTTGTTTTCAATTTTTGCTCGTAGCGATTTCTTCTTCTTTTAATTTTATTGCGTGTGTACCCATAGGGAGTTTTGTTGTGATAACGTGTCAGACCCATAGTGTTCTTATCAGCGGGTCTTTGCAATCGTATGGGCTTCTGGGTTCTGTGGTGGTGGGGGGGAATTTTTAAGAAGTTAACACCCGCCCTCGATTGGATTGCGTTTTCTGTCGTCTGTTCGATTCATTTTGTCTGTCCTTCTTGCTCCCCTTTTACCCCCCCTTGGATACACCTCCCCGCCTTCCCAGGTTCCGGGCGATAATCAACTGAATAAAATTAATATCACTTAGAAGCGTGCGTAGTTTCGTCACATAAAAAAGGAAACATGACGACGCCAGTCGATAGGCCAAGCAATGCTATTACGTTTTCTACGCGTACACGTTACATTGCTCCATGTCCCTTTGATTGATCCTTTATTTGATCTCGATCTATTAAAATTACGCCTAGACCTCTTTTCACATCGACGTCAGGCACGCACAGATCTACGATACCATGACAACGTACACGAATAACCGGTTTAAGAGAACACAGGAGGTCACAAAAGGTCAGGAGACGATGTAACACACGAAGCATCTCACCTCGACGCACGCTCGGCAGTTGACATGGTCCGAGCACAGCGGGCATTCGCTGACAATGTACACCAGGTGGCTCTCCTCGTCGCCAACCATGCAGACGGCGGCGCCCTCTCGTGCCACGCAGGAGCGGGTGCTGTGACACCAGCCGCAGGAGCCGTCGGCAATGCACACGAGGCAGTTAGCGTAGAGCATGCACTGGCTGGGCTCTCCCGCCCACGGCTGCAACGCCAGCCGCTCAAACACCTGCAAGTGCAGTGCCACCTACATGTGAAATTCCGTCGCATAGCTATGGAAGCAGCTTGAAGTATGCAACTGTTTGCTTAGCACTTCCAGTACTTATTGAATGTCGGGAGATCGAGATAGAGAGAGAATAAGACAAAGAGCGAGAGTGTGTGTGTGCGTGTGTGTGAGAGTCTGAGAGACAGAAAGTAAGAGGGAGAACGAGAGAGAGAGAGCGAGCGAGAGAGAGAGAGAGAGAGCGAGAGAGAGAGAGATATCTAAAGAGAGTGAGAGAATGATCTAGAGTGAGCGAGTAAGTGAGCAAGTGAGAGACAGAAGGAGAGCGAGAGAGAAAGAGAGATAGAGAAAAAGCGAGAAAGAGAAAGAGAAACAGAGGCGGAGGCAGAGGTGGAGAGAAAAAGAGAGAAGAGGGAGAGGGAGAGAGAGAAAGAGAGCGATAGAGAGAGTGACAGAGAGAGCGTAAGAAACACAAACGGGTGAGAGATGGGTGAGGTCGCCACTGTAAGAAGCACACACACAGACACCGGTCCTCACCTTCCTGTTGCTACCCCACGCCAGCTTCACCATCGACGGATGCTGGTCCTCATGGATCTGCTGCGACGCCAGCAGACTCAGGTAGAGCTTGTTGTCACGGGAACCGCCGGGCAGCACGGCCAATCCGCTCATGTGGTGGGCCTGCTGCCAAAACATGCTCTCCGTCCTGTTGGCGCCCGTCCGCGAAACGGTCTCCTGCAATGCGCAACATGAGCTATGCAACACCAGCAATGCAACATCCGCGATGCAACATTAGTTACATAACATCAGCAATGCAACATCTCTCCGTGTTATCGACGCAGTAGCAGTTTCCCGTCGCGCTGTCGCAGACGCCCAGCGACGCGTTGCCGTGGCCGTTGCAGCGACACTCGACGCAGCCTCCGCCGGACGTCGCGTTGCCGAAGCTGCCCTCCCTGCAGAACTCGCAGTGCTCGCCTGAAGTAAACGCAGCAGCGAGCGCGTACAGTACACAATCTATTATCCGAAATTCTGAAAACCGAAAGTTTTTTCGTGGAGGTCGTCTGCACAGCGAAGCTCGCGTTTGGCTGCACAAGGTTCACTGCAGAAATATTAATGTGTTTGGCATTACTCATACATATTGTACTGTACCGGTGCAGCACTTGGCCGCTTGAAAACTTGCGTTTTAGTACTGGCTAGTTGCAGGATATATGGTATGTATATCTGTACTGCACTACCATTCCGAAATCCGAAAACATCCGAATGCCAAAATGTGTCTGGTCCCAACGGTTTCGGAAAATAGATTGTGTACTGTACATCGCCACACTCGCTCGACCGCGGGGTCTGCGCACAAATCGAGCGCGATGTTTTCGCGTGCCGTAGCATAGCGCACGTAATGGTCGAGTCTTATGTACAGCTGGGTGCGCCGACTTTTTACGAAACTTTGTAGTTGTCCAAAAAACAGGATTATCTTTATGTTATATTCAAGTATCGCACGATTTTATTATTTCATTTTTGTGCACTGTTCTACAAGTAGTTCCCCTTCTTTGCATGCTGCACAGTAATGTTTATGAGCAACGTGAAACAAGCAAGTCAGGAGCGCTCACCTTCGGTCCACGTCTGCTCTTCACAGTTGTCACATATTCCCAGCCCTTGAGGACATACGCTGTGGTTGTGACAGCCACAGTTGACGGTGCAGTTGGCGCCGGTCCAACCCAGGTGACAGCTGCACTCGTACAGTGGCGCCCCCGAGCAGACGCCGTGCACACACTCGTCATAGCAACTGCAACGACACGAGAAGTTGTTAAAGTAATGTAATAAAAGAAATACAATAAAAGTAAATGTAGAAGTACAAGTTTCGTGTATCCACTCCCCGGAGTTATCCCACAGCTACACGGGCATGAATCTAACACCAACACTGCTGTCCTCTCACTACCAACTCTCACTCAGCTACGCGCCACACCAAACACCCTCCCTCACTCACGTTTTGTTGCAGACGTCGCGGCCGTTGCCGACGAAGCCGCGGTCGCAGCGGCACGCGTACGAGTCGAGCGTGTTGACGCACGTCGCGTTGTCGTGGCAGTCGTGCAGCAGCAGGCCGCACTCGTCCACGTCCGGGCACGTGCCGTACGACCACTCGGCGGCGGCGGTCGCGCGAAGCTCGTGCCGCGCGTTCACCGCGTGCGGACACTTCACGTCGCTGTACGGCGCCGCAAAGTCGCCGTCGACGCACAGACCTGCAACGAACGACGCAGTCGGTGACCGTCGCAACAAAGACGGTCGCGCTGCACACGATGTTGTTACCGTGGTGACGAATGCTGCACGAAGTCGCCGTACGACGCGCAGACCTGCAACGATGTATCGATGCAGCAGACGCAGAGATGCCAACACATATTTGAAGCAATCTGTAGTTTCTGGCCATTAAATTAGTAGTTCGAAGGTCACGTAGTGACCCGAGTTTGCTAGGGGGGTCCGGCATGCCCCCCTGAAAAATTTTTTATTTTGAGATGCAATTTCCTGCATTCTGAGGGTAAAAAATGACAATAAATTAACAAAAAATGACCAAAAAAATGTTTTTTTCGATCACAGTGAAATTCGTAGTTTGATACTGGTCGTAGTGGTGGAAAAGGAATAGAAATTCGTATAAAATACGGATAAATCGTAGTGGTTGGCATCTCTGCAGACGTACGCCGACGCGCTGTTACTTATGTTCAACCACTGCTGACGGCGTGTCAGAAAAAGCGGTGCAACGAACGACGCAGCGGACGGACGCGTGTACGTCGGTGACCGTGGCTACAAGGACGTTCGCGCTGCAGACGATGTCGTTACCGCGGTGACGAACGCTGCAGGGCAGCACAGAATGTCGAATTATCACAGTGATGAACATTGCCAGGAGACGACTGGTCCGATCACTTCACCACTTTAGGTAAGGAACTATAAGTATGTGTATATTTATATGTGTATGTG